GCACCACGTGGAGGTAAGTCTATCGCACACCCCGAATATTAAATATAACGTGAATAGTTGTTTAAAAAAGATTGAGATGTCTCCTTGAATTAGGTGGCAAATCAAAATGGTAGACTTCAGTTTAATATAGGAAACTTTTCAGATGAGGTAGTTTAATATACCTAAACGGTAGTCCATAATGCCACATCAGATATTAAAATCTGCCAACTATATAATTTGTTAAGAATTGTATTACGAGCAATCTTCTGTTCTCTTTAGCTCATTTTTTTAGAAATAAAGAGAGCATTGGCATTCGCAAACATTGAGGAGCGGTTTCGATTGCATTTGAAGTGAACAGTATATTGTTTCTATCAAGTCTGCAAACCTACCTACTTCATTAGAGAATCTATTAATAAATGTGTTGACTGTTTATTGCTTCACTGTTATTATTTTCTAATCTGTAGCTGTTCATTTAAAGTTGAAAAATAAATGACTTCAGCTAAATCATCTGATTAGTACAGTGTGGCCAAAGTAGAAAAGGCATGTTAAGACGTAGTGAGTTATGTACCGAAGTTTATGTGAACGCGTTCGTCACTTGGCGCGAACTTCTGAATGGTCAGTATGCTGCTATTCGCAATTTTCTATATTTACATATTATAAATAAAATCTTTGTATTCACACGAGACCACTTTTTCTTGGCCACCCAATATAGTGTTTCTTGAGGTCGGTTGACTTTTCATCGTTTTACCTCATCGATTAATAACTTGCGGGCACACACCAATCGTCTTGGTATCTTAATAGTAGATGTGTATTCGATGTAATTCAAATCCCCGGTACTCGTTGTTTGTCTTTATTTATTAACACGTATTGGCAACTACTTAAAAAAATCCAGAAGGCCTCACAGGGAGCACACTCATCTTAGTGTATTATCCAATCTGCAACTATGGGGACAGACGGGTAGAGACAATGCAGACAGCGGAGTGATGTTTCAAGCTATTTCTAAACTGATTTTCATCAACAATTCGTCGAACAAAAGAGGGCTTTTATCTTTCCTTTTACCCTTTTTTACTAAAGGCCTGCTTTATCAGTAATAGCCACAGATTACTTTACACTTGAGTATGGAATCTGTTAAAAGTTGCGTAAAATTGGAGTGGCATTTGAATTGAAAATACAAATTGATAAGATTATATGTTGAATGTCTCGGATCTTAGTATCAAGCTAAGTATTTATTATGCATTATAATATTCACATTGACCCTTTTTCACATTTCAGCGAAGAGATAGTGTTCATCCTCGAGACAGGCAACTCTCTTCCAGCACTCTGGACTCTGGAATCACCTCCAAATCAGCATCCCTTTCTCGACCCTCTTACAACACGTCAAGAGGGAATCTGAATGAAGATGATGATGACGGCAACAGTTTTCCTTCACCACCGCCTCCACCAATCGACATGGAAGATCCGGACCCTGCTCATCCCTATCCCTTCAATGTGATCCCTGTGGGAGAAGGTGTCGATTTTTCGACCCGTCGATCACTTCAAACCTCCTGTCTAAGCCTGGCGGCTAGAAGTGTGAGATCCAGCTGTCAGAGTCTTCTTCCGACTGACAATGAGGTGAATCTCGTGAACTGACTTTAGACAGCAAAATCTGTCCTAACGTTTTAAATTTCTAACTGCTTAACAGGATATGGAGGATGATGAACAGCCATCAGAACGCGATTGTCAATCTCTTTCTCGCCATCAATTTGCGTCTAGAAGTGCGAGCCTACATCGTTCATTGGGAAAAAGAGATCGAAATCAGGAGACGGAAGCTGTGACAATGGTTCAGGATGATATGGTCACTGCACTCCCTGGAAATCGCTCTTCATTTGTTGGGTCCACTGTGGGCATGACTGCAACTACCTCCTCCGCATCTTCTCGAAGTTTGATTTCATTAACAACAGCGTCAAAGTCACGTTCCAGAGATGACAGGTCGACAAGGTCCTCTAGGCGGGGTTCAGCTTCCGGAGGGTCAAGAAATCAGGTACATTTGATTTCTGATATCGGGTGGAATCGAGTAATAATGCAAACTCAGTCCTTAGATTTATTTTGGTTTGATAGCTCTTGCTTTATCTACTATAATCTTGTGTCTATTTACCTAGCATTTCAAATTGGAATAACGTCCTAATTTTTTAAACACTTACTGGTTTCGTGGCCTCTAAAATACTTTTAACATGAGATAGAGTTAGTGAATGAACGAATTAGCAAACTACCCAAATGTTCTTTAGAGTAGTTAGAGGCGTCAAATTGATGACCGGTCTTGGTATTTGTCCTCGCTTCAAAAGATTAAGCAGATAGAAATTAAGCAAAGATTTTTTTAAGAATGCTGATTATCGCCTTGAGTTGCTTTTAACTACTGTCAAAATAAATACTGGAAATAGAAATCAAGGATAGTGAGAGTTTGAATGTGGCTGTTTCATGCATACGATGGTAGGACTGCGGTTAAGTAATAGTGTCGTATGGTGGACAAATCGCAATAAGTAGAGGTTTGTAGGGCCATAGGATTTTAAATAGAACTTTCGAAATTAAATTTTGATAAATTTGCCTTTTTAAAAGTTTGTTCCATTTAATTGTTTGTCTAGTTAAGGGCACCAGCAAGTGTGGCGTATCATCTGCTTCGTGAATTGACAATGACGGAAAGGACTTATAAAAAGGATCTGGACTTTGTATGCGAGGTACGTGACCCTTTTAATTCCGTTTAAATTTAAATATGTTTCATTTAAAACCCTAACCACCGGCGTAGACGTGTTGAGTCCAAACCTCAAGGGTTTTTCCCCCACGAAATATTATAGGTAAATGAATATTTTCGACGAGGAACGATGAATTAAAAGAAATAGGCATATCAAAGAGAGAGGCTGGAAAGCAAATTGGTGTTATATTTCATTCAAGCGTTCATTTATTGAAATTCTAAGCACATAGGCACCAAAAGTCAGATTTAAATAGTTTTCAGTGAGAAAGAGGGATCCTCGCTGGCGTTAACTCACTGTACTTGTCCGTGAAATAAGAAGACACTGTCCACTAGGCCATCACCTAAAGGCATACATTCCAAAAACTGGTAGAATTTCTTTCTCAATGAATGCCTGTTGCAAGAGCTATGTGAAAAGCGGGTGATTGCCATGTCTTTGCTATTCCGGGTGACATATTTTCAAGCAGGGTAAGAAATATGAAATAAACGACTTCAAATAGATATCTTCATGAATGAATTCAGTTTGAAGAAAGTACGCTCCCGTAATTTGATCTTGTATTAATGCCAATTCAAAACCATTAAAGTTGCTATGCTTGAGTGAATCATTCTAGCATTTTTACTATGGGCCAAGAGTTTAGCTAGATGAGCACGTTAGAGTGCCGCTTGACCAATTTACACCAATCAACCGGTTATAAGTATTTGTCAAAAATGCCATATTTTATGAGTTGGCCTTCGACATCTTTAAGCACTGTCATTAGTCACCTCAACTGATCTAGCAGACACACTTTGTCCATTTCTATGAGAATACCAAGCCACTCGTTCTCTTATTCTGTAACTTTGTTCTAGTTGCATCAATAAGAATAGGTTATAAAGGTCTCACAAATGCCTCATTACTTAGCCGAAAGCCACTTTTCGTTTTACTGAATTGCAAATTTTCAAAAAGTTAAAGTGCCATGCTCTGTAATCGTAATCAAATTTATCCTTTTCTCTTTGAACTCGACACAATTTAAGTATTCGCTGCTGCCCTTCGTCTCTTTTTACCTACTTGTCTCCTGGGCATTTCGAACTGATTTGTTGTCTCTCTCTCTCTCTCTCTCTCTCTCGAATACAAATAGAAACTTTAAATTCTCCCTAACTTTGTTTATCTTTCCAACATCGAAAAATTGCCAACAGGTTAATTCAATTTTGCTCACAATTTAAACAAGAATAGACCAGAGCTTATCATAGGATTTTGTCAAAACCGCGATAGGAAGGATGAAGCAGGTAAGCAGTTGCTAGAAACCGGCGAAGACGAGAGAAGCCTACTTGTACATGTGTAGTCCACCCAATGACTTCTTCATCGAAAAATGAAAGTATTCCTAATAAAAATAAAACAGATACGTCGGTAAGAGGAGAAAATGAAGCGCTGCAGAATGTTTGGTTTAAATAAAACTTAAAATGGAATATCATGTGGGTAAGATAAAATGCAACCTATATGGACGGTTGTGAGCAACAAAGAGATCAAGGGTATGTGGCACAGAGTGAATAAAGCGACTCAACGATTACTTTCACTGCCAATAGATTGGCGTTGAAGTCTCATTGGTCAAATGTACACCTGTGCTATTTCGCCTGCTGGCCAATAATTTTGCGTTGACTGGTGAGTTTGCTAGCTTAGCATCCCTCCAATTCCCAGTAACAATGTGTTGGTTCACGATATAATTATGAGAGGGCGCTGACACTCCCGAAACTGGAAATCAAGCTTGCTAAGTAGCATATAAGGCTATGGATCTCAAGAAACGAGGGGTTACTCTGAACTCTTAAATGCAGAACTTTTTAAGCTACAGTCGTGTTGTTAACTACCCTCTATCCAACTATTGATCAAGATGCTCGTAATGGAAAGATAGTGGGTGGTTTCTGTAGAGACTCTATTTTTATGTAGAATCCTCAGTACCTTCGTGGTAAATTTGGGCATGGAGATTGATTTTAAATGCTTATTATAAAAGCTGTGAAATTGTATTGGTGATTTCATGAAGAAACTCACCATTTGGATCTTTGTCGATGGAAAAGGACGCTCGATGGGTGCTTTATAATTGAAAACTAAACGAGGAAGACTCCGTGGTTCTTTGGCCATTTTTTTAAATTTGGTGTTAGTCTTTAATTAATTTGTTCAATCTTCAATGTATTTGAAGATTTCCTTTTCTTTTTTAGTTCTGTAACTTTGCTTTTTAAGACGTTTTTTTCCTTAAAAGTCTTAGATGGCTCTTTTTTGTTTATAAAATAAAAATTGAATGCATATTCAACTGTCCACCTAAGCCATTGTTCGTATTATTAAACTCAGCAAGCCAGGGTAAGGCAAAAATGGAGAATCTTTGGAGTTTTTACTTATTTATTTCAAATGGCAGGCGTCTTGATGG